ACCGCCCCCACCCACCACAGACCCCACCCACACAGCACTGACCCCACCCACACAGCCCTGACCCCGCCCACACAGCACTGACCCCACCCACCACAGACCCCACCCACACAGCACTGACCCCACCTACACAGCTCTGACCCCACCCACACAGCACTGACCCCACCCACCACAGACCCCACCCGCACAGCACTGATCCCACCTACACAGCACTGACCCCGCCCACACAGCACTGACCCCTCCCACACAGCACTGACTATCCTAATGACCCCACCTGCACATCACTGGACACATCCTCTTCTATAGACCACTGACCCCATCCTCACAGCACTGACCCCACCCACACAGTACTGACCCCACCGTCCACTCCCATAGAGTACTGATACCCACTACACACCACTAACCCCTCCCAAACAGTACTGACCCCACCTACACATCACTGACTACTTCCTTACAGTACTGACTCCTAGGGCAGGGGCAGGGGCAGGGCCAGGGCTGGAATGAGTGACATTTACAAAGCTTCGCCTCACTAGTGAAACATTTTATAGAGAGCTAATGAGACCTTGCAGGACTTTCTGACTGCATGTACCTATGGGTGATGTACTCATGGTGTGTGTGTGTGGTGTTATGCTCTGTCCATACATCCAGTGATTTAACCCTGCCCATTTAACTTGGACTTTGAAGATCTGTAAAAAGTCTCTTGGAATGCAAAGTCTCTATTGCAATGCAAGTAAAAATCCAATCGTTTCTTTGTCATCTGTCGTGACAGATTTTGAGTTACCAAATGCTATATCACAGGAATCCCGTTGTCTTATAGTTGTGGGTGAGCCTCGGATTCTGAGATGTTTTCATCCGCTCAGGGGTGGGACCGACCTTATGCTAGGGGATTCAAACCCTTGGCTCACGTTCTCTGCATTCTGAATTCTTATTCTCTCAGAATTCTTGATTTGGACCTGGTGGTGAGGGATGAAGATGGTAACATTTTAGATCCAGAACTAACCAGTACCATTAGCCTCTTCCGAGCTCATGAAGTGGCTTCTAAGCAAGTGGAGGAAAGACTGCAAGAAGAAAAGGTGAGTTCACCTCCTCAGGGTGCCAGTTGTGTGTGGACATGGTTTCTCAGTAATGGCCTCCAGTATTAGCTGAATGTCGGAAGCCCAGAATCTGCACTCAAAAAGACGCCTGCCCAGTGTGTCTCAGACAAGGAGTGGGATGGAGCCACGTGGGCTGGGGGTGATGTTAGGGGGAATCCTGCCATTTCCTGCTTCCTTTCTGTAGCTGTGACAAACACCCAGACAAGAAGAAACAGAGGGAGGAGGAGGTTGATTTGGTTTACAGTTCTGAGTTACAGTCCATCATTGAGGGGAAGCCAGCGCAGGGACTCCAGCGTCTCCTCACATCAAGTCCGAGCAAAGAGAAATACATGCAGCATGCTTACTTAAGTGCCCCGCCAGCCCTCTCTCCTCTTAGGTGATCAGGGCCACAGACCTGTGCTGCCCACAAAGGCCTGGGTCTTCTTACTTCAATTAACAATCAAGACAGTCCCTCATAGATGTGCCCCAGGCCAACCTGATGAAGATATTCCTCAGTTGAGGCTCCTCCCATGTGACTCTAAATTGTGGCAAGTTGCCTTTTTTAATGACTTTTTGTGAATTTCATACAATATATTTTAATTTTTTTGATTTATTTATTTTTATTTTATGTGTAGGAGTGTTATGCCTGCATGTGTGTAAGTGTACCTGTGTCATACAATGCCCGCAAAGGCCAGAAGAAGGCATAGGATCCCCTGGAACTGGAGTTACGGATGGTTGTTAGCCACTGTGTGGGTGCTGGGATTTGAACCTGGTCCTTTACAAGAGGAGCCACTGCTCTTAACCGCTGAGCCATCTCTCCAGCCCCTGTACAATATATTTTGATCATATTTAGATCTCCTCCCATATCTGCAACCCCTTTACTAACTCCCTACAAATTTCTATATTATATATACACACACACACATATATCAAGGCCTTATAGAGTCAGGTTTGTGACCCCAAGTACCCTTTAGTATTGGTTCATCCACTGACCCACCTAAGGGTCTCATCATTAAACGGGACTGAATCTCCCCTTCCCAGCAGCCATTGGTTGCTAACAGTTCCTCAGGTAGGGGTGAGGTTTCTTACCCACTTCCCTACATCTTTGCTGGGCTTTTTGTCTGGTTTGAGCTCATGTGGGACTTGTGCATGCTGTCACCACTGCTGTGAGTTTACACGAGTAACTGACAAGCTGTTTGGAAAACTCTTGTCGTGCACCACCTCTGGCTCTTCCAATCTACCCACCTCCTCTTCCCCAATGATCCCAGAGCCTTGGGAGGCAGAGTTTGACCATCGGTGCCCTTTATTCTCTGCACATTTTTTACTGTTTTTTTTTTTTTTTTTTTTTTTGTTACTTGCCATTTGTTGTATAAGGGTGCTTCTGTTGTGAGAGTTGAGAGATGCATTAATCTATGGGTATCACAATAAGGCCTTAGAAATCAGTTTAATTCTTTATTCATTTACCAGACGAGTTGTATTGGTCCTGTAGGTGCTCTAGGCTCAGATTCCTAGGCCTGATACCAGTGTCAGGTATGGGCTCCATCCTATGAAGCAGACCTTAAATTAGAAAGTTGTTGGTTACTCCTGTAATATTCATGCCACTATTGTACCAGCAGGCATATCTTGCCAGGCTAGTTGTTGTTAGAGCTGGCAAGATTCACAGCTGGGTAAGGTTCATGCTAAATTTTCTCTTCCGATAGCTTCCACGGCACCTTCCAGCACTGTGAACGCTAGCCAATAGAGACGAGGCTCTGAAGTCAGCACGGCTTGATTTCTCCTTGTTTGTTCTAGGGTGCATGTGTATAGTGTCTTCAGTTCTAGTGGGTGACCAAGAGCAGGGGCAATGGCTGGTATTGTTTGAGGGTCTATGGGACCCCTGGTCAACATGTTTTAGAAAGGGAGTTCGTTCCTGGCATTGCATTGGAATTTTTCTTTGCAAGCCTATGTGGTGCCTAGTAGTGTCTAGTGTCTAATAGAGGAGTATAACTCCTTTTAATTTCTTTTTGTAATATATATGTATATACTTTAAGAAGCTTCTATAGAAGTACGTTGATTTTTGAAACTAACCAGCATCCTCCCTAAGGATGACGCTATGTTCATACCAGTAGAATCAAAGACAAGATCAAAACAACTCTGTATTCTTATCTGGCCAGCAGGATGTAGAGCTCAATTGTGCATTTTCTGTCAGACCGTGGTGGGGTAACATAGTCAAAGCTTGCTGAGGAGAGGGAACACATGCCTTAAAGCTTGCTGAGGGGAGGAAACACATGCCTGATCATTTCATGTCCCATGTCCTAAACAGGTATCATGTGGACTAGGTATTCAGAAAGTGATGGTGTCTTAGTTACTTTTTCACAGCTACGGCCATGATAAAATACCCTGACAAAATAACTTGAGGAAACAAGCCTTTATTTTGTCTCATAGTCCATGAGGGATAGAGTCTTTCATGCTGGAGAAGGCATTACAGCAGGTGGGGGAGGCATGGTGAGTGGAGGCTGCTGGTGATGCTCCCTTTCTGTGTGAGGGGGATTGAAAAGAGCAAAGGTTATGGGTGAAGGTTGCTCACGTTGACTTTGCATTTCCTTGTATAGTCTCAAAAGCAGAACATGGATATCACCAGGCAGGCGAAGTTTGCGGCCACCCCTTCTCTGGCCCTGTTTGTCAACCTCAAAAATGTGGTTTGTAAAATAGGAGAAGACGCTGAAGTCCTCATGTCTCTTTATGACCCCATAGAGTCCAAATTCATCAGGTAAGTGGTGTCTCCCTTGCAGGCTAAGTGGTTACTCTTTGCTCTGACTAAGTTCCTGAACAGAGGTGACTTAAGCAGGGAGGGGTTTGTGTTGGCTTATGGTTTGAGGGCACCGTCCATCATGGTGGATGAGGCATGAGGGTGCTGTCAGTCATGGTGAGGCATGGCAGTTGGAGCGTGAGGATGCCTGCCCACATCTAGAGGGATCTAGAAGCAGACACAGAACAGGAAACAGGGCCAGCCTGAAAACTGTATTTCCTGTAGTTAGACCTCACCTCCCAGAACTTCCACAACCTTCCAGAATAGTGACACCAGCTCAGGACCAAGAATCAGACACATGGAGCCATGACATGGTCATAGGCAAGGTCTCTCATTCTTGTTCAGAGCCCTTCGGAGGTCCTGGCTGCTCAGCCAGCTCGGCCAGCTGAGCCAGGCTTGTGTCAGCAGCATGGGCTCGGAGTGGCTCGGCATTCTCATGGTGTTCTGCTGCTGACTTGTATGGTTACAGTGTCCCAGGACCTCTTGCAATGCTTTCTTAGCAGACAAGCTGAAGCCCTCAACTGTGTTCTGTGTTATCACCATAAAACTTTCTATTCTGGGGCTAGAGAGGTGGCTCAGCAGTTAAGAGCATTGGCTGCTGTTGCAGAGGACCTGGGTTCGATTCCCAGAACCCACATGGCAGTGTACAACTGTCTATAACTCCAGTTGCAGGGGAATCCGATGCCTTCTTCTGACCTCCGTAGGCATTACATGACACAGGTGCACTTACATGCAGGCAATACACTCATACGCATAAAATAATAAGTTAAAAAAAGCTTTTCTATTTCTGAACCCCACCAAGCATCACTTCGACCTTTTGAAAGCCTTTGACCTATGAATGTCGTGTCTGTGACTTTTGCCTCTAACCCGATTGGCTAGTGTGTGTCTGAAATTGTTGCCCCTCTGCCACATTAAGACTCACAATTAGTATCTGTTGAATGAATGAGTTATAAATAAATTGACCTTCACTGTAACTTTCTCTTTTCCCTGATGAAAAATTTATGATTAAACTGTATGTGAGGTGTGTATGTCTGTCTGTCTGTCAAATTCCTGTGTATTTGTCCGACTCAAAATTTAAAAACATAACTTATGTTTGAAACAGCAAATAGGTGAATTTTATTCTTACTTCTGATAAGGACGTTTTTCTTGACAGGATGCAGTTTGTATTTTACAGCATACTTGATTTGTTGAAGGCACTGAAATAAATATATATTGTTCCCAATTCAGTACACAGTTCTGTATTACTGTCACTGTAAATGGACAAATAGGCTTTTCAAATTATAAACATAGAAATGTCATTTGCAAATGGTCCCGTTATACCTCTGACCTGAGATGCGGAAACCGAAGAGCTCTCTGTCAGTTTATGCGGCACCTGCCTGGTGAAGGGTCTCTCTGACCTCCTTGATATTTTTATAAATGCACAGTCATGTGCACAGTGGGCCTCTGCAGTGTGAATTATCAGGCTGGATGGGATGCATGTGGTACTCTTCTATATTTGAAAAATTCACTTGCTTTTGTTTCTTTTTCAAGTGAAAACTACTTGGTCCGTTGGTCAAGTTCAGGATTGCCTAAAGATATAGACCGGTTACATAATTTACGTGCTGTTTTTACGGTGAGTGTGTCCATATACGTTTAACTGCATTGTTTCCTGCTCTAATGGCTGTTTGTAGGGACTTTCATCCCTGACTGGGACCTAGGGATGCCTGTGACGCAGGTTAAGCTAGGTGTATAGTGCTGCTTCCAGAAGTTTCTGAGTGTCCATCTCACCTCAGTATCACCGTGACACAAATCACCTCATTCCCCCAGCGCAGTCTCTTACCCTCGTGCCTTATGTTCACTTAGTTAAGTGTCACTGCTATCCTGTTAGGCTTGTCGTGTGAAGAATGTTAAAGTGCGGTTAGCTGGCCTGAGAAAAGACTCCGGCCTTTTTACTGTCCTTTTCATTTGGACTCGCATTGAATCTTTGAATTTATGGAAATTAATACTTCTAGGACCTCGGAGGCAAAGACCTGAAGAGGGAGAAAATTAGTTTTGTATGCCAGATTGTCCGAGTGGGCCGCATGGAGCTGAGGGACAGCAACACCAGGAAACTGACCTCGGGGCTGCGGCGACCATTTGGCGTGGCAGGTAAAATCCACTTTTCTTGTTTTTCCAGACCATCCTTTTCACTTTGAATAAGAGCCCCTGTTGAATATTGGACAGTGGGCAGTGTGGATTTCCACAATTTTGTGCTGGAGAGGAAAGTAAGTGTCTTAGTTCTCTGTGTAGTTTGGAACCAACCGGCTGCATCTGACATTCTTTCGTTTATGGGCTTCTGATGTAAATTGGGTTTGGTTTGGAGGCAGGTCCCTGCTCTTCCTGGGGGAGCCCCTGACTCCTTGCCCAAGCTGTGGGGAAGCCAAGCATTCGGGGGAGGAGGGTTACCGAACACGGGGTGAGTGGGCACTGCCTGACCAAATGACGAGGTGCTCAGCCAGTAGCACACAGGGCTTGTTACCTTCTGCATTTTGGCTTGGAGTTTTGGTGGCTGTATAAGAAAGTTGAGGGCCAGGGTTTGAGAGCTGGCTTAGATGGCACTCTCATACATGTAGGCAAAACACTCATATGTGTAAAAATAAATCAATAAAAAAGTTGAGAAGGAAAACTGTCCCCAGGAAGCCCTAATTAGGTGACCTCTTTTGATATCACTCTGTTCATAACCTTGAGAAATGATTTTCTTACTATTTTAGACTTGCAGAGGTGTTGTCATAAAGCCCTCTGATACTTGTTTGATTTTTAGGAATTGTCTTAGGTTCGTTTCTGTTGCTAGAACACCCTGACCAATGGCAGCACTGGCAAGGACGGGTTTATCTGACTCCCAATTCCAGGTGACAGTCTGTTGTTGTGGGAGGTCAAGGCAGGTGCTTAAAGCATCTCATCCACAGTTCAGGGCAGAGAGAGAAGTGTGAGGATCTCAGGATCTCAGCTAGCTTTCTTTACTTGTCCACAGGTCAGGGCCCAGCCTGTAAAAAGGTACCGCCCACTTTCAGGGAGCGTCTTCCCACCTCAGTTAACTCAGTTAACACAGTCCCCACAGACACTCCCACAGGCCAACTTGATCCATATAATTTGTCATGAACATTCTCTTTCCAAGTGATTCTAGTAGTGTCAAGTTGAAGCTTAAAACTAACCAGCACAAGAGTCCTATGTGGGGAGGATTCTTGATTCCTGATACTTAGCTGGTATTTCTTGTATGAAATGATGGCATTTTTTTACTTGGTGAACAGAGAGCTTAGCACCTGGATTTTACTGCCTCTTTGAAATAAACTTTTATTCAGAGAAATTTTAGGCTCAGGATAAGTTGGGCAGGAAATAAGGACAGTTTCTATAGACCTTCACTCTGCTCACAAACTGCCTGTCACCCACATTCCCCAGTGATTGGTACGTTTCTTACAGGCAGTGAACTTAAATAGCCTATTACTTTACTCAGAGTTCACAGTTTACAGGAACATTCACTCTTGACATCCTGTGTTCTGTGTGACTTTTTTTGGGTGTGTACGTATGCATGTTTGTCAGTATGTATTTGTGTGTGTGTGTGTGCAGGTGTGCGTGGGTACATGTGGAGGCCAGAGGTCAAATTTGGGTATCTTTTTGAGACAGGGTCTCTCACTGAATGTGGAGTTTATTGATTTGCCTAGACTGACTGGCCAGTGAGCCCAGGGGATCCTCTAGTCTCCCCTCCCACCCCAACACTTGGTTACAAGTACTCACCACCATGCCTGACTGTTACATGGGTGCTGGGGATTGAACACAGGTCCTCATGCTTGTGTGACAAACACTTTACCCATGGAGCCATCTCCCTAGCGCCCATTCTATGGACTTTTTACAAATGAATGATGTCACTTGTCCACCATTAGACTGTCACAGTCATTTCACAGGATACTTCTCTTGAACCATTGGGCTATTGAGTGGCCCATTCCAAAGGTTTTAATCACCTGTAGTGAGATGTTGTGGGTGGGCTCCCTTTGTGAGGGGCCCTGGGTTTGGTACTGGAGAAACTTCACATTTTCATTCCAGAGTGCTTGAATGCATACTGTAACTTGCTCCTGTGTTTTCCTAAGCCTGTAGCATCATTTTCTTGTTTAACTGAGATACTTGTAATCCTGTAATCTTTTGGAAATTTTCTTTTCTCGTTTTTCATTTGCTTGGTAGTTTTAGGGAAATGTTACACATATGTATATATATACATACATATGTGTGTATGTATGTATACACACACACATGAATACATACAGTCTCAGTTGTTTTAGGCTTTACTGTAGCCATCAGAAAAATCTATGACAAGATGATGTAAGTTGTTCTTTCCTGTTGGGACACTGTGTTCTCCATTATTAGATCACTGGGGAGATCCCACTGATAAGTTCCTGTAGGGCATTGTTAGATTGTGAAAGCAAAGATGAGATCTAGCTCGAGGCAATTTCTCTCCCTCTTTTGATTAAAATGAGAATTTTCCCAGCTTTTTCTGAGTTGGTTGTGATGTTCTGGGAAGTCCCAGGTGATGAGGGGTGAGCAGGTCAGTGGTCATGGTACCAGCTGAGGCCGCTGTGCCCTCTTGATGCTTATAGCATATGGTGTTGGGTTGTAGCCTCCTGGCTGCTGGACTTCTCTGGGTGGTACCAGAGCCCAGGCTATCTGCTGGATCGGGGCTGGCAGCTCTGATATAGTGCCCCTCCCTTCGAGGCACTACAGATGTTAAGTCAGAGGACTCCCGAGGTCAGTGGTCATGGTACCAGCTGAGGCCGCTGTGCCCTCTTGATGCTTATAGCATATGGTGTTGGGTTGTAGCCTCCTGGCTGCTGGACTTCTCTGGGTGGTACCAGAGCCCAGGCTATCTGCTGGATCAGGGCTGGCAGCTCTGATATAGTGCCCCTCCCTTCGAGGCACTGCAGATGTTAAGTCAGAGGACTCCCAGGTCCCTGTCTTGTCCCTGGGCCTTGGATGTTTGCTGCGAGGCCATCACTGTCCCATCCTTTGACATCTGTTGACTGCTCTGATGCCCCCTTGACCCCTTGGCTCCCAGTCTGCACTGGTCTGTGACTCTTTCCTCTTCTGCCATCTCTCCCTGGTACCCAATCTTAGGGCTGCTGGATACTGGCTTGGTCGAAGTCCTAGGCCAAGATCCGGAGCCTCTGAGAGGGACCACTACTGCCTCCACGGAGGCCCAGCAGTTGTTGCTTACCCAGTTGCTCGGTGTTCCTGCTCAGGGTCCGGGGCTTTACTCCCTGACCCAGCGCTCTGGCATCTCTAGTCACCCCAGAGGACCAACTTTCCAAGACTTGCTTATCCAATGCTTCTAGTTAAGTTTCCTTATGATTTTTGCTCTTAGGCGGGAGGGGAAATAGTTCATCTTGGGCTTTTGCTATGCCCTGCCCCCACAGTGCTGTACTCCAGACCTGTCCTTTCCCCTCGGTAAGGCCGTCGTTGGTATTCACACACCCGGGGTCTCCTTGCCAGGCCCGGGTTTCTAACTCCTATAGGGCATCTCTCAGGCCCCTTTCTTGTTAGGGTTCACCTCCTCCACACCTGAGAAGCAAGATCAACTTTTTATAATCGGATTCTGCCCATTTGTATGCAGCTCTGATGTCCACATGCAAATTTAATTTTGAGGCTTTCTCCAGAAAGATTCTGCTTATCTGTGTCAACAGAGCCTCAGTGCTTTAAAATGAGAAAGTCATTCGTGGGCCTCTAAACCCACAAGTTTTACTCTTTTATTGAAAATAATACGTCACGTTCCTTTTTGTTAAAATGTTGGATAATGCAATAGTGATTGACACCGGTGGAAAATCATGGAAATTTTATGGAAAAGAAAGATAATTAAATAAATCATTCATAATTCGATGCAGCCTGGTAGTGCTTCAGGTTTATTCTTGGTGTGTTTTTTTTTCTTTCCCTCCCACCCCCCCCATGTGTGGGATTATAATTTTTTTTTTTTTTTTTGTCTTTTTGAGACAGGGTCTCCCTGTAGCCCCAGCTGTCCTGGATTCACCATGGAGACCAGGCTGGCCTCGAACTCACAGAGAGTGCTGGGGTTAAAGGTGTGTGTCACCACGCCCGGCTGGGATTATAATTTTTAAAATACTTATTTTTATTAGTTCTTAGAAAATTTCATATAATATATTTTGTTCATATTTACCCCGTTAACTCCTTCCAGATCCATCCCCACCTCTGTACCCTCCAAACCCATGTCCTTTCTTTTTTAAATTAAATAACCCATGGACTCCAATATGTGTTATCTGTGTATCTGGGTGGGGCCATCCTCCAGAGTGTGGTTTGACCTATCAGGAGCCACACCCTTAAAGAAAACTGACTCTGCCTCCCTTAGAAGTTGTCAACTGTCATTAGCTCCTGAGGTAGATGTGGGGGTCACGAACTCATCCCCACTCTGTGCTCAAATGTCACTTGGCTTGAACTTGTGCAGGCCTTGTACAGGCAACCAAGCTGTGCTGAATTTATGATTGCGGAGTCCTGTCTGTCCAGAAGATACTGTTTTGCTCTGGTCCTCCCTGGCCTTTGACTCTTACAGTCTTTCCATCCTTTCCACAATGGTCTCTGAGCCTTGGGGAGGGGTATGATAAATAAGGGATACAATTTTTTGAATCATTGACAGATCATACCTGGGCTGGGGATTGTTGGTCAGGAGTGTGGTTATAATATGTGCAGCCCTGAGTTCAATGCCCAGCTCAGTAAAACACATAAAACAGTAGCAAGGACTAAACAATATTAGGACAGACAATGTCCATATTGATTACGGATTGATTTTTTTCATGCCTTTTTTTCCTTTCTCCTGGCTTTACCATCTTTAGCTATGTAGTGTGGTAGTATTGTGCTCATATTTCATATGTGTAGTTTACTTCCTAAAACTCAACAGTACATGTGGACATTTCCATTTGCAAGGCATTGTTGAAGAGTTCGGGGCTGAGTCTGCAGCTTGCCCTGAGGTCAGCGGTCCTTCATGCTGGAGCTCCGGGTGTCCAGCTTCATAGTATAGGTGTGGCGAATACCTTTGCTCTACTCCGTTTTCTGTTGTGGTGGTAAGACTCTAACCAAAAGCAACTTGGGGGAGGGAAGGGCTTATTTCATCTTACACTGCCAAGTCATAATCCATTATTGAGGGAACTCAAGGCAGAAACTGAAGCGGAGACCATGGAGGAGCGCTGCTCACTGGCTTGCTCCCCTGGCTTGCTCCCCTGGCTTGCTCAGCTGCCTTTCTTACACAGCCCAGGTTCACCTCAGAGATGGCATCACCCACACTGGGCTGGGCCCTGCTACGTCAGTTATCAGTCGAGAAAATGCCTCACAGACATGGCTATAGGTCCCCCTGATCTGGACAGTCCTTCAGGTGAGGCTCCCTTTTCCTAGATGACTCTAGTGTCAAGTTGACTAGCCAGTGCACCCTTGAACCTGAAGCCCCCCTCCAGGTATATGCAGGAGAAGTGCCCACGCTGTGCCTGCCCCATCAGAGGGTGTCTGGTCCTCAGCAGCTCATGTTTTGTGTCCCATTGATGTGATGAAGCTGTGTCGATGTGCTGTGTCACCGAAGGACGGAGCTGTGGGTGCCTCTCCCCTGCGGCATGTGCCTCCCTCTGGCCTCTGCTTTCTTGCCCCTGTATTCCTGGTCCTCCACGCTGCTGTCCCGATAACACTGCCACCTCCCCCTCTGTGCTTCCCTGCCTCATTCTGTGCCATTGTTCCCAGATCTTTCACACCCTGACCTTTGCAGGTGATCACATTGATTGCAGCCAGACTGGGCACTTTGCACAACAGACTTTCCTTCCCTGTGGAGATCACAGAATGCCCCTCCTCCCTGGATGGAGACCCTGGGCTATTAATATCCTCTTTGGACAGCAGGGTGTCTGTGATGGTTAGCTTTCAATGTTGAATCACCTGGGAAGAGTCCTAATTGAGGAATTATCTAGATCAGGTTGACCTAAGGTCCTGTCTATGGGGAACTGTCTTGATTGTTAATTGTTGTGGGAAGACCCACTGTAGGTGGCAGCCTTCCCTAGGCAGGGGGCCCTGCGCTGTCTAAGAGCAGCAAGCGATAAGCCCAGCATGCGGTTGTCTCTGTTCCTGACTGTGGATGAGGTGCTACTTAGCTACTCTGAGCTCTGACCACTGCACTGTCTCTGCTGTGACGGACTATAACCTGGGCTGTAAACCGAGTCAACCTTTCCTTCTCTCTGTTGCGTTTTGTCGGGGTGCTTTTTATCACAGCTGTAAAAATGAATTGGGGAAAAAATATCCTTCCCGGTGACCACAATGAGGTCTTCCTGGGCACAGGCCTTGGTGTGGATGAGCCCTAAGGAAAATTTTGTGGCTTAGGATGGGCCTTTGAGGCATGGTTGTTAGTTACTAGCAAGATGGACAAAGGCTGTTTCCCACCTGTGAGTCCTGGCCTTAGCCACCTGTCCTGCTTCCTTGCTGTCTTCCTGCAAATGGTTACTGAGCCTGCGTGTTTGGGGCAGGGTCCTGAAGACGTAGCAAGGGAGTCAGATAATCCGAAAGACCTGCAATCAGCTAGCAAGACAAGTCCTGTGACAGAGAGGGGCCTTCACGGACACAGGAAGGCCACCCTTGCGGCCTACGCCTACTGTCCTGGCCATGGCTGGTTGAATGGCCTGCTGAAACCAGCTGTGTGTCATGATTCTGAAGCAGTGATGAAACAGTAGGCTTGGGCACTCCGACCGTCATGTAGCCAGGTGCCTAGCTCAGGAAATCTGCAGGGGAGACCTGATCCCTGCTATTCCTCTTTATTCTGGATGCTCCTCCCCGGGTCTCTGATCACACGGGTGGGCTCAGTGGACTGTGTGTGGCAGTTTCCCCCATGGCTCCGTGGGCTCTGACTTTCTGAGTGAATAGTTTCCTTGTTGCCGTGACAATACCTGATAAAGAAGTTTAAGGAAGGAAGGCTTTGTTTTGGGTCTAGTTTGAGGGTATAGTCTCTACCATGGTGGGGACGTCATGGCTGCAGGAACCCGAGGCAGCTACCTGGTCACAGCGTTTCCATAATCAGAAAGCAGAGAACAGACAGGAAGTGAGAGTAAGCTAATAAAACCTGAAGGCTTGCCCCTCGGAACCTGCTTCCTCCAACAAGGCTTCCTCTCCTAAAAAATTGCACAGCCTTCCCAAACAGCACCATCAGCTGGGGACCGAGTGTTCAGACATGTAAACCTGGAGGGGCCGATTCACATCTAACCACAACACTGGGGGTGGCTGTGTTGAAATGAAACCTGTTCTCAGTTTCAGTATAGGATTCAGGTTGCTAAGGGAGGACTGTGGCTCTCGTACTTTTAGCCAGGTGTGTCGGTCAGGGAAGACAGAGCAGAGTACCTGTCCAGCTCCCTCTAGGGTTTTCTGTGGTTGGCATAACCAACACCACAGGATGCTTGGTTACTAACATAGAAGTAAGCCTCTGAATGCCACCAGGAGGACAGCATCTCTTTTAATGTAGAGATGGTGTGATACCTTTTGAGGGATGTCAGTGAGCCTGGACCATCCCAGTGAACACAGGTTAATGCACTGAGGGGAGCCAAGGCAGTGAGCTGGGGACATTCTGACCCTGTGACCTTGGGATGTTCATTTCTGTCGGCAAGTTTCAGTTTCTCCAGCTGCCTGGCAGGTAACTGAGGGCCAACCTTGAGTGTCCCTCAGACTCGGCATACATGTACCAGCTCTTGGTAAATTATGCCACTTTTTTTTTGTCTTTTTGAGACAGAGTCTCCCTGTAGCTCCACGTGACCTGGAACTCACTATGTAGACCAGGCTACCCTTGAACTCACAGAGATCTGCCTGCCTCTCTCTGCCTCCCAAGTTTTGGGATTAAAGGCATGTTGTTATCGAGGTGAATTTTACTTTTCTTGTTACTGGGACAAAATACCTGATAGGAAGTCGACTTAAGGAAGCAGGTTTGAGAATACAGTCCATCATGGCAGGGAGGACGTGAGAAAGGCATGGTGGCAGGGCCTTGAGGCAGCTGGTCACATCGTATCCTTAGTCAGGAAGCAGCAATGCATGCTGGTGCTCAACTGGTTTTTTTTTTTTTTTTTCCTTTTTATACAGTCCAGAACCCCAGCCCAGAGAATGTTACTGAGCACAGTTAAAGTGGGTCTTCCCATGTAAATTCTAGATAATCCCTCACAGGTATGTCCAGAGGCTAACCTAATGTAGAAAATCCCTCACAGGTGTGCCTGGTAGTGTGTATCCTGTCAGGTTGCCAGTCCATCCTAAGCATGATAGGGTGTTAAATTGTCCTGAGTAGGGCAGCCACTTGCCCTGTCTGCTCTTTAATTTAAATAAGTGAAACAGGCATGAAGTTTTAGTTCCTGGTTGCACGTGCTCCCAGCATATTTCCTTCATACGGGGTGTTTTTTTGGACAGCACAGCTCTGTCCAGTCACTGTGTGAATGCCTTCCCTGTTAGGTCCAACAAGTTCAGAAGACTCTATAATCTGTGAAGCGTGAGAATAATTTAGACTTGACATAAGATTCTATTCTATGGTTTGGTTCATTGCGGAACGGTTCAGACCGCGGTCTGCTGTTCTTTTGTTGACTTCCTATGATGGTAACGTTTAAGCTCAAGCAATTCCTCACTCTTTTCTTTCCCCAGTGATGGATGTCACTGACATAATAAATGGAAAAGTTGATGATGAAGACAAACAGCATTTCATCCCCTTCCAGCCGTAAGTATGATGGAATCCAGACACACCATGGAATCCTAGCCTTATTAATGTATCATTAAGGTTATATGTTAAGCCCAGGTCAGGATTCTTTATTTTCCAGTAATAATGAGTTTAGTCACTGTCGGCATGTGGAATTTTGAGGCGCTGTAAGAATACCTGAATAAGGGTTATGTATGGTCCCGGGAATGGATGTTACGTATGTTTCTAGAAGTACCTTATCATAGAAGAACTAGAATTCTGTGCTGTGTGAATGTTTCTTTACATAATTGATTTATTCTAGTAGTAATTCACATTTTCAAAATACAGTACTTTCAAATGCATCACAAGAGGTTGCTGCTTTTTAAAACAGAAACCAAACAAAGTAATGATGAATCCTTTTGTAAAGTGAGAAATAATACTTTAAAGGCTGTAATCAGGCTGCTGATTTTTCTGCCTCGGTTTTTCGAGCAGCACAAACGTGCTTTTTGCTTGTTGTTTTCTTGGGCTTTGTCTGCGTCTGACCTGAAGTCTTTAGAGAGGGCCAGGGAACATGGGAAAAGGCACTTGGGGATGATTTGTACGATTCACTCTCTGATTTGAAGCTAGAGCCTATGGGAAAGGTGATTGAAATGAGACGCTGGGTCTCCATCAGGGCCACTCCTGCCTCAAGGAGGAAGAATCAGGCCGGGGAGCTTCAGGTTAATTGCAGGAGCCAGCCTCCGCCTGAGGTGGCTGATGTCTTTGGAGAGTAGGTGTAAGTTGAGTGACTTTGCCGCAGGCTCTGCATGCTCCTGCTCCCCTTTTGCTTTCATTCAAACAGTTTTTGGCTTACCATTTATTTCACTTTAGAGAGTTTACATTGTTTTCTGTTGTGGTTGAAGCACTTTGGAGAGTTGGTGACTGTGGGGATCCGACAGAGCCCGGTCCTTGGGGGTCAGGAAGCGTGGCATGGACGTCCCTTGCCCCATGCATCCTTGCTCTCTGCAGACTTGAGAGCCATTTGCTTAAGTTGATTGTAGTGTGGCTTGTGCATCTTCATGGAAGACCCTGCAGTCTTGCTGAGAGGAGAGTAAATAAACCCAGCCTTGTCTCACTTGAAGTTGAGCTCAACCACATAGAACTCAGGACAAAGGTCTCTTGTGGCTTTAATGGTTTCCATTTCCTTTTCTGTCTAGTATGCTGCCCACTAGCCCCATGTGGCTGTTTAAATTAATAACAGCTAAGTAGATTTAAAGTGTAGCCCTTTAATCACATCAGTCCAGTCAGTTGTTTAGTACCAGACAGACTGATGCCTACCATGCTAAGGGCGTCTCAGTTTTATTTTCCCATTTCTCTGATGAAGTACCCTGAAATGCAATTTAAGGGAGAAAGGGCGTCACATGGAATGCATGCGTGTGCTCGGTTTGCTCTTTTCATTTTCTATGGTCTGAGATCCCAGCCAGGGAATAATGCCACCCACTATGGGTGCCTTTTCCTACTTCAGTTATGCACGCCTAAAGTTCCATCTCCCAGGTGATGCTAGATTCTGTCAAGTTGACAATGGATACTGATCATCACAGGTGGGTTGTAAGTAGCTCATCTCCAACCCTACAGAAACCTATAATCCATAATCCCATCCGTGATGAGTGTGTATGAGAGAAAGAACCATTCTACAGAATCCGGAAGTTTTCCTAGCATACAGGGGACTATTTTCCCATCCCCAAACATGGCTGACATTGAGGTAATAAATAAAACACACCTTTGTGAAATTATAATGGCTGGTTACTTGTTTTTGCCCATGAAAAAGACAATACAGTTCCCTGCTGCTCCTAAGGCTGTATTTTATCCAGACCTCAGGGTTGCTGGATGCCAGGAGGAGCTGCAGAGTGAAGCTGTTTGTGGCTTGCTTGTGTCCTGTAAAAAGTTAAGAGAAAGTAGCTTTGGATATTATTCCAAAAGTTTGAGAAATGACCAGTTTGATTCAAGGTTTTCCTGGGGCCTTTTGAGATTACCTGTGTGCCATTGCCAGGCTTTTCTAACTGGCAATGGATGGCCATTTAAAAAAATATGATCACACTTATCTGTTATGTAATTTGTGACTTTTGTTCCATTGAAGGAAGATGAACACAGATTAGTATTTGTGGCCTCAGAAGTAAAAGAACAGCATGATTTTAATAGCAGAATAAGCCAGGAAACCAGTTCTTTGGGAAATGTCATGCTAATGAAACCGTTTTTTGCTCCATTAAAACTGATTCATCACTACACAGGGTTGATTTTAGGGAAGGAAGCACAGTGCACATCCTCCCTCTTACTCATCTGTTTTTAACTTGGTGAGGTAACTCCAAACAGCCCTCAGCTCCTTTGAGTTGCTTGGCCCAAGCGATGGATGATACCGTTCTTGTTTCTAGCATTGATTTTCTGCGTTCCGTAGCTGATGTATATGTTCAAGCTCATTTCCCGTGCTTGGTGGCACCACACAGTGTTTCCTGTGCGAGCCTTCCTCTTGTGCAAGGACTCCTGGTTCAAGGGCCTGAGAACCCTGGTAACCTGCATCCCTAGTGATGTCCTGGGTTCAGCTTCCAGACATGGTGACCATTAATTCTGTTCTCCAAAGGTTGGGTCACCTTCGCACGTAGCCCTCAGAGACCCTGTTGTGCACCCAGTCTGAGGGCACGAAGGCAGGTTTCCTTACACTGCTAGGTCCAAGGGTTATGTGGGGGAAGAAGTGGCGGTCTTGTTTTGGCTTTCTCCTTCTTTGAGGGCCACTGACCCTTGTCTTAGGCTAGGTCAGAGTTATTAGCATGGCACAAAATGCCCTTCAGTCTTCTTTGGCTTGCAGGCCTCTCAGGCCACCATATTTTCAGGCCAGCCCCTATACTGCCCAGCAGTGATGGAGTGAACCCCTATGTATATGTTTCTGGGGAGCGGGGCACCCTTGTCGGCCTGACTTCTCTCCTGTGGTTCACCGTGTTCCTGACCGATGCTTCCCTTGTCTCTCCTGTCACGTATCCTGCCCTTTGTCGTGCGTTGACTCATGACGACTCTCTCACACTCGGTGACGATGCTCTCTTGTGTCCCCCGTTACTGTGACCCACGGGTCTCCGTACCCCTTTGTCTCCTGTGGTCCTGTGGTCTTGGTCGTCCCTTGCCCTCCAGGCTCGCATTGGACGACGCCATTCGACACAAGCCGCTGAACATGTCATCCCGTTTTTCACCCAGGGTGGCAGGGGAGAATGACTTCCTTCAGACTGTTATAAACAAAGTCATCGCTGCCAAAGAGGTCAACCACAAGGGGCAGGGTATGTATGGCTGTTTTGTTTCTGTCGGTGGGCATGTGGGGGAGGTGGGGACGGGATAGAGTTTTATCGGTATCTGGGTGTCCCTGGCCACGGGAATGTGTGTGCTTGTCCCCAGTGGATGGACAGCCTGTGCAGGCTTTCTTCCGGTCACTGTGTAGCCTTTGCCGAATTCCTGGGAGCTGGCCTCGCAGAGAGCGCAGGAGACTTGGATTGGGACATGACTGGGGATCTGGGAGCAGCCCGGGGCTGAGGCGCTGGGAAGCATGGAGACAGCCCTGGCCTTTGTCTGCTCTTCTTTCCCTAACCTCTCCTCTCCCCTTCTCACCGTAGATAAGTGCTTGAGGGCTGGGGATGCAGCCCAGATGATAGAGTGCTTGCCTCGCATGCACAAAGCTCTGGTTCCATCCCCAGTACCTCATAAAATTGGGTGTGATGGTACCCACCTGTAACCTTAGCACTCAAGAGGTGGTGACAGGGAGGTTCATAGGTTCAAGGCCGTCCCAGGCTACTGTGCTGGACAGCTTAAGTGTCAACTTGACACACCTGGGCTGAGGGAGCCTCAACTGGGGAATTGCCTCCATAGGACTGGCCTGTGGCCATGTCTGTGGGGCATCTTCCTGATAGTCGAGAGATGTGGGAGGGCCCAGCCCACTGTGGTTGGTGCCACCCCTGGGCAGGTGGGCCTGTGTTGCATAAGAAAGCAGGCTGAGCAGGAGCCAGGGGAGCAAGCCAGTAAGCGGCATTCCTCCATGGCCTGTGTTCCAGCTCCTGCCTCCAGGTTCCTGCCCTGAGTTCCTACCTCGGGCTCCCTGATGAACTGTGACCTGGGAGATGTAAGCTAAATAAACCTCCCCAAGTTGGTAGTAGTCAGAGCATTTTGTCACAGCAATAAATTGGAACAAACTAGGACAGCTACAGAATACCCTGCCACAACACACCCCAAACAAGTAAGCAATCAAATAAACAAAACAAAAAACCTTACAATAACAAAAAGAGAATGTAACCCCCCCCCCCACCCAACAGCCATAGTTCTAGTTCATTCTTTAGAGAACCAGGAATAACTGGCTGCCCCTCCTTTGGCATGGGCTCTCATCCCCATGTTCTGTCCTGACACTGGCATGTTTTGCTCTGAATTGCTCCTCTGTCCCACAGGGGAAGTGGCTTCATTTGTGTGGGCCGGCACCCCTCCGGCTCCGTCTTCTGAGTGACTTCTCCTGTACTCCCTGCCGTGCTCGCTTCATTTTTAATACCATGCTGATGTGTCTGAGCAGCCGACCTTCTGCTGGCAGAGCTAATGAATCATTCAGCTTGGGCTGGTGACAGTTTGCACCGGCCAGGAGCCCTGCCAGAAAACAACTGTTTACTGAGTCGCACCTCCCACAGGGTGGAGAGCTAAGTCACCTTCAGAGGTGACTCTAATCCTGCTTCTGACACCCAGGAAAACCCCGGCACCATGTTGGTCCTTGGTCTCGAGTGAATGCCACGCTCTGTATACAGAGGAGCTCATGGAACAGTTGCTCTCCACTGCCAGTCTTTAGAACTGTGCTGTGTTGTCCCCAGAACAGTGTTCACTGAGTCTGAAGCGTGTTGTGTTCTGGATGAGAGAGCTCCTTACATCTCTGCAGGGAGTCTTGGCTGTTCCCAGTCCCCGGCCAAAAACAGCAGAGTGAAACTCCACCCTGAATGTTCGTGGATTGTGACCGCTGTTCATGGAGCAAGTTTAAGCTGACCCAGGCCCCACCCCTTGTAGATATTGCTTTCCAGTTCACACTGTAGTGCAAACCAAACGAAGTCTCCTTAGAGCTCTATGGACTGAGCCACCCCATGGGCTGGGAGCCAACGTGAGCCCTAGCTGCTCCCTCAGGCCTGGATCAGGGCCGCCCTTCCCCCCAGTTCTACGTACAGCTTCTGTGTAAGTTGTGTTTATTACAGAGTCACACAGGAGAGATGGACACCAGAGTCTGGAAGACTGTCTCTGCTGAGCTCAGAGGTCGCAGCCTGAATCTATGGGCTTGACGGCAAAGGCATAGATGCTGGCTGGTACCTGGCAGAGGCTGATGTCACCTGGAGCCTCGAGCTCCCAGGGAGGAGGGGCAGGTTTCAGGTCAGAATGAGACATAGATAGCGTGTTTCAGAGGGACCTTGGTGTCTTCCTGAATCAGCCAAACCAAAAGTATGACTCATTAAGTTTCACCTTAACTCTGAATCCTCTAGTGTTCACTCTGAGAATGCAGGTCATAGGCTGGAGAGCTGGCTCAGTGGTTAAGAGCACTGGCTGCTCTTGCAGAGGACCCAGGTTTGGTTCTCAGTACCCACAAGGCAGATAACAACTGTCTGTAACTCCAGTTCCTGGGGATCTGACGCTCTTTTCTGACCAGTGCAGGCATTGCACAACATTGGTGCACTTATACACCTGTGGGCAATACATTCATGCACATAAAATAAAAATAACAAAGTACTGGCTACTCTTGTAAAGGACCAGGTTCCATGACTCTGTTTCCAGGGTATCTGACACCCTCTTCTGACCTCCATGGGCATTGCATATACATGGTACACTTACATGCATGCGGGCAAAACACATACATAAAATAAATATGACTAAATAATTAGCGTTGTAGTTTGTCTCCCCATTGCTGTGACAAAACACTCTGACTGATACCGACTTGGGGAGGAAAGGGTTTGTTTGTTTATTTATTTATTTATTTATTTATTTATTTTTTGGTCTTTTTTGAGATAGGGTCTCCCTGTAGCCCCAGCTGTCCTGGAACTCACTATGTAGACCAGACTAGCCTTGAACTCACAGAGATCCGCCTGCCTCTGCCTCCCCAGTGCTGGGATTAAAGGTGTGTGCCACCACGCCGGGCAAAAGGGTTTATTTTATCTTACATCTCCCAGGTCACAATTCATCAGGGAGCCCAAGGTAGAAACTCAGGGCAGGAACCTGGAAGCAGGAGCTGGAACACAGACCAAGGAGGAACGCTGCTTACTGGCTTGCTCCCCTGGCCCCTGCTCAGCCTGCTTTCTTATATAACACAGGCCCACCTGTCCAGGGATGACACCACCCATAGTGGGCTGGGCCCTCCCATATCACTCAAAAATCAAGAAAATACCCCATAGACGTGGCCACAGGCCAGTCTAACGGAGGAAATTCCCCAATTGAGGCTCCCTCTACCCAGATGTGTCAAGGACAACTAAAACTATCCAGCACAATTAGTTAAAAATAATTCAGGTCGTTTCTAAGAGAATCAAAGAAGTTGTGGCCCAGGTAATCACTGCTGAGTCATCAGGGTTTTGCCAGGGGACTCCTGTTTCTAGTAGTTCACCTCTTGATAGGAGCTCATTTGTCCTGTCAGTCAGGGGACCCAGAGCAGAGGACAAGAGCCAGTGCATTTTCCCGTACCTTCCCACGAGGTCCCTGCCGCCTCTGACCTTGGCTCTGGGCCTTGGCTTTTTCTAGTTTTGCATCCAGTTTGTCTGTCACAGGGTCAGAGTTTCATATATGTTTTTTTTTTTTTTCAACTGCTGGAGATTGAGCCCAGGGTCTGACTCATGCTGGGTAAGTGCTATACCACTGAGATACATCTGTGACCCTTTAATTCTTTTCTATTTAATCCCCATGATTCTGCTCTCTGCAGCAGAGTTCTGGGAGCGTGTGTGGACAGTGGATCCTCACATGAGCACCTGCATTCATTGTTTTAGAAGTGAAAGCCCATTCAGTGTTTAGTCAGAAAAACACGTGGACCCCAAACACTTCTCTTTGAAAACTGGCCTCATTTTCCCTGCGAAGATGTTTCAAATGTGATATAATCAGGACAGCTTCATCTCTGCATTTCAACTGTCACACACTGATTTGTGTCAGTAATATTCTAGTTTATCCACCCAGATATTTGAGCAAGTTATTTGTGAGGCTATTTGAAAGGCAGAGTTTCTGGTAGTGTTATTTAATGTTATTAGGGTTAGTTGCTTGATTGTATGACAGATTAAGGGACATGGGGACAGGATAAAGTGCCTATCCCCTTGAGAATCCTGCAGGTCCAGAGTTACCTGCTAGCTCTTTATGCCTCAGTGGCTAATGCTTCTATTTCACTGGCTGCTCTTGCAGAGGTCCTGGGTTCAATTCCCAGTACCCACGTGGCGGCTAACAACCATCAGCAATTCTAGTTCCAGGAGAGCCGACACCTTCTTCTGACTTCCACAGGCATTGCATGACATGGGTGCACTTACATATACATGCAGGCAATACAGTCATACATATAAAATAAAAATCAAATAAAATATTTAAAAAGATATGTAAAAGGGTAGGAAAAAAACAACCTTAAAGCAATCTCGGCTGTCTCTGTATTGACTTTGTGTCAATCCACCCTAGTCCAGTTCCTGCTCCATGGGATCTGCCTGTCTCTGCTCCTCTCCTACCAGCATCCACCCTTCCCTTCCACCTGGAGGGCTTGGGCACTTCCTGTCTGTTTGGTGACATCCACAGTCCCCTTCCCTTAAACACACACTTTGGTCATGTGACCTTTCCCGGTGTCCTGCTCTCTCCAGCTCCTGCTCAGTGTGAGCTGAAGTGGGACCATCGCCCATGTGCTTCATGGAGCTCTCGCCCACCCGTGCGCCTCAGAATAGCGCCTGGATCAGGCTTCCAGGTGGGGAGTGGTGGCTGGCATCTGCCGGGTGGCCACAGCAGGCCCTGCCTGTGAGAACCGCTGTCCTCCCTCTCCCTCCGGTTCTGCCCCTCTTTTGTTGCTCTCCACAAACCCCCACCCACTGTCGGGCTCGAGTCCCACACTGGTGTCCTGGGCTCTTGGGGCCTCTCCCTGCTCAGTGCTTTCCTCCCAGTCCTACCTGCCCCCTCCCTGCAGCTGTTGGGCCATCCGGCTCAGAGTCCATGCTCATTCCTCAGCCCTTGGGGCCTCCGCACTGTCTTTCAGTGAACCATGGTCCCTGCTGCCTTGCAGATGCAGACCTCCACCCCTGGCCTGTTGTTCTCTGCCTGCTGCTGTCAGCCTTGATGTCCTTCCTCAGAGGAACCTCTGTGACCCCTGGGATGGGGGTGCGGGATGTGTGTCCTGAGGACTTCCTGACACCACCATTCCTATTGATCTGTCTCTGGGGAACCAGGGAGTTAGTGTTTGACCCTTACAACGACTTACTTTCCTGGTGAGGAGATACTAAGTGTCCACCCTGCATTTAGAGCACACAGTGTGTGCCTGGCACATAATAGGTGCTCATTAAATTTTTCTGAATAAACAGATGCTCATGATACCAGACAAGACTGGTGAGGAGATACTAAGTGTCCACCCTGCATTTAGAGCACACAGTGTGTACCTGGCACATAATAGGTGCTCATTAAATTTTTCTGAATAAACAGAAGCTCATGATACCAGACAAGGATGGGTGTCAGCTGCAAACACGGAACAGAACTTTGTCAGTGACTTTGGACTTCTTCAGCCAAAGTGATACTGATCTATGAAAAATAAAGGGGTTTCTGGGCTAGCTGCTGCAGTACAGTGCCAGGGCAGGGGCAAGGCATGTGGGTCAGAGCCGCCGACCTGGTCTAAAGTGGCAAGCTTATGCAGTACACCTGGGCATGGGTCTCATGCCACCTAGAATGCATGCTGCTTGTGGACAAGGCTAGTGATTTGTTTCATTTTTCTCTTTTTAAAATTTTGATTTGATTTTATTTGTATGGGTGTATTGTCTGCATGTGTGTAAGTGCACCTGTGTCGTGCAGTGCCGGAGGAGGTCAGAAGAGGGCATTGGATTCCCCCCGGAACTAGAGTTATGGATGGTTGTTAGCTACCATGTGGACTCAAGGTATTGAACTCAGGTCCTCTGCAAGAGCAGCCAGTGCTTTTAATCACTGAGCCATCTCTCCAGATCCATTGCAGACACAAGCACTGACACATGTAAAGCTAAAGAGATACACACACACACACACACAAGCATATAGATTCATACCTGCAGGCACACACATGCAGAGCCATACTTTGGTTCTGTGATGGGTGCATGGAGCGGCACAGAGCTGAATACCGGCGGCCCCCTCTTCACCTGGGGTAACACGCAGTATCATTGAAAGCAGTGGGAAGAGCCAGGCGCCTGCCTTTGACGCTCTGTGGGTTCTTTTCCCTCTCACCTTGCTCTCCTCCCCCATGAGCTCTGACACACTGCAGCTCACGTTGGGCTTTGATGGGGGGAGACAGGCAACCCTGCCCCCGGGCCTCACACACACCACACTTACTCCGGGGCGCCCTTGGTGCCTTGATTTTAAATGTTGGAGTCTTCCTTTTCCCGCTGGGATGGAAGAGCTGGGTTGCGGCTCAGCATCTGCCCCTCCTGTGTGGTGACGGTGTCACGTCACGACAAGCTGGCGCCGTGGGTTGCACTGTGCCAGGCCTTTGGGGATGGCCACCAGTACTGCATGACCCCACATGCTCCACTGCTCCCCTGGGCAGTGCCATGCTTCATGGCGACATGAGATTATATTGAGTTCATGAAGCTGTGTACTTTCTGAGACTGCCATCCAAGGAAGCAGAAAATGATGTCTCCCTCAGTCCCCTCTCGGATAAATGCCACCTGCTGACTTCTCCTAAATCTAGATCGGCTCAAAGGAACTTTTGGTCCTCCACTTACAGGAGCACACAGCTGTGGTTCCTGTGAACTTCCCGTCTGTTCATCACTCTCAGGAAGAAACTGTACTTGGGCCGACTGCTCCCTGTGCTGAGCACCTTTTGTTTGGTGGCTGACTATTTGTTTTCAAGCTGTTGATCTGTGGATTAAAAGCTGCTCTTTCACTGAAACTGCTTTTGAGAAAACTCCTAAGATGTGACTCAGGTGGCCTTTGTTCTTCCAGGTTTGTGGGTGACGTTGAAGTTACTTCCTGGAGATATCCATCAGATTCGGAAGGAGTTTCCTCATTTGGTGGACAGGACCACAGCTGTGGCCCGCAAGACTGGGTTTCCAGAGATTATCATGCCAGGTAAACCCAGATTGGTTTAGGCCTTTGAGGTCCAGGTGGAGGTCGATGGCCATGAGCAGTATATGTGGGTAGCAGGGTGCTTGCAGGGCGAGGGAGCTGTGCGTGGGGCTGGTGCTATGTGAGGCCTAGGCTGGTAATGGGTGACTTTAGTGCTCAAGGGCTGTGACTGGACTGTTGGGATGCAGCCGTTGGCCACCTGGGTGACCCATGGGAATAGTTTCTCCAAGTGCAAAGCTCACATATCAAGAAGCATGACCACCCAAAAAGCATCTAAGTAGATAGCTGATTGAAAAGGGGGAGGGAGGCAGGGAGGGTCAGACACCTGGGCAGTGACGGGTCAGGAGGATGATGCTGTCCTTAGGGCTTACTTAGGGTGTGCTCATGATCATACTGGTGTTGCTCTGGCCCAATCATGGACTTTTAAGCCAAGTGAACTAATGGATATTGGGATTCTTTATAATGCTATCGCTTACATTTAATAATGCTTTCCATTTTCCAAAGAGCATCCACGCCAGTAATCTGATTTGACCCTTTAATACCTGGAACTGTGTTCATATTTATCCTTCATATTGAGTGAAACTTCCTGTTTACAGCTAATGTTGACATGAATTACTTGGATCCATCCACAGGGGATCTTGAGTACCTCCAGATTTAACTCCAGTCAACATTAAACCACAGTCTGAAGTCACATGGCAAAAGCCAGTGGAAATGGAGTCAAACCAATCCCACTCAGCAGTCACAGGAGGCCTCTGGCAGCCTCTGCTCATGTGTCCTGTAGTGAGAGATGGCTGGTTACCTGGTGCACACACTATTAGAGGCACGAGTGGTCTTCACGTAGCTGTGAGATGTGCCCTTCCCATACTGTTTGCCTTTCAGTGTTGGTATAGGTTATTGGTTACCCTGTCTGGCCACATGACAGATAACTGAAATGGGCTAGCCTGGGTATCAGTGGTATTCCCCAGATAGACAAGGCATGTCAGTTAGCAGACCTTGGAGCTGTCACACAGCCACTGACGTGTGTTGGCTCTGTGTTCATCAGTTCAGTGTTGTTCAGGGAAGTGGGCTAATTTGTGAACTTCCTGTTTACGTTTGGACTTGAGATTCAACTTCATGGGTGCAGTTGACAGTGGGCCCTAGGATGTCCTGCTCACAGGTGTCTTGGTTGTGCTTTTCCTGTTGCTGTGATAAAATATTCTGATAGAAGCAATTTAAGAGAGAAGGCCCTCATTTTAGCTCACAGTTCACATGATACCCATCATCATGGCTGGGAAGTGAACGCAGCGGGAGCTTGAAGCAGTTGGTCACATTATGCCGCAGTCAGAGGAGAACAACAAATGCCGCTCACCTTTCTGTCCATTTTATATGGTCCAGGGTGCCCTGCCTGGGGAATGGTCCCACCCACCATTAAGATGGGTCCTCCCACATCAACTAACCCTAATCAAGGTGTTCTCCCACAGGCATGCCCAAGACCTGTCTTCCAGGTGATTCTAGATCCTATCACACTGACTATCACAACTGGGAAATTCTGGAAACTTCCCACTCATGCTGGTGGGGTTACCCTTATAAGGGATAAGCTTGCAGAGTTAAGTCCCGAGCTCCGCCATTATCTCATGATTTGCTCATAGAGAACTCACACAGCTGACCATTGTTCCAGAAGGTTCCCTGTGCTGAGGAGTCCACTGGAGGGCATTCTAGCCAGAAAGAGTCACCCTAGTTGTACATTGGCTGAGGAAGCACCAGGGGTGGGCACCAAGCATATAGTGCCAGTGTTGTTAGTGAGACTCAGTGGAACTTTTGCCTTGTTCCTTTCCATCTGCCCTGTGCAGGCGTCTTTGCATGGTGGGAGAGCCTGTGCTACCCTTCCTGCTGGCCCATCTACCTCTCATGACCGGTGCTACCTCAGATCCCTTCTGAAGAGCCTAGGCAGGGAAACAGCACAGGTTTCCTCTGAGCTAGGAAGATGGTGATGTCCACCCACATCTACTTCCAGCTCCTTTCTTGAGTGAGTCCACCCCTTGTGGAAGGCCCATGTGATGCCCCTCTGGGGTTTAGCTACTGTAGATGGTGTCTTACTTCTGGGATGGCCCAGGCAACAAACCTCTGCAGGGATAACTGTGGGGCTTCATCTCCTCATGGCCTCCCAGCCCCATTACTTCTCTATCTGCTGAGATCTTTAGGGAGCTTTGCAGCACCTGAATGAAAGCTTTAGGGGCTGGGGAGACTGCTCAGTCACTAAAGTATTGCAAGGACCTGAGTTTGATCCCTGGAAACCACATAACAGATGCTGGGTGTGGCTGCATGCATTTCCAATCCAGTGTTGGTGGGGTAGAGACAGATGGATCTCTCCCTACTGGTTATCCAACCTAGTTGAATTGAGTCCTGGGCCAGTGAGAGACTCTGTCTGAAAAACAACAAGGTGAATAGTGCCTTGTTCTCTGGCCTCAGCAATCACACACACACGTACATGTACATGCACCTGCGCGCACACGCACACACACACACACACATACACATACACACACCCCAACATGCACACATATATGCACACACAAATATTATGGTGTTTGTGCTTTGATTGGTAGAATTATCAGGCTGAGAAAAATATAGTCGATGTGTACCTATGGCTGTTGAGTGGTGAGCTGGCCCTGGAGTTGAAGGGCGGGTTTTGGAGAGACAGGCCGCTCTCTGCCCGCCAGCCTCATGCTGTGCCCTTCTTAGCCTCTCTTGTGCAGTATCTGCCATGGCAGCCATGCTTCCCTCCCGAGCAGCCACTGTGGCTGTGGGAGCAACCCACTGGGACTATTATAATAATGACTTTTAAATGCAAGTTTAATTTAATAGTTGGGTACATTAAAAGCCAAAATAGAGCAATTAAAAAAAGCAAAATAAAATACAGGAAAGCAAAAAACGGCTTTTTTCTTAAAGAGTCTCCATTCTTTAACCACCGTGGGGACCCCTTGTGACTTTAAAAAAAATAGATTTTACTTATTATTTTTATTTCATGTGTATGACTGTATTGCCCACAAGTATGTAAGTACACCCATTTTGTACAATGCCTGCGGAGATCAGAAGAGGGCTTCGAATCCTCCGGAACTGGGTTTACGGACAGTTGTTTGCCATGTGGGTGATGGGAATCAAACCCAGGTAGTCTCCAAGAGCAGCCAGTGCTCATAACTGCTGAGCCATCCTTCCAGCCCCCTTGTGGCTCTTCTGTACAATGGAGGGTGGGCATGGGCCGAGTGGGCAGGAGCCCAGGAAGGAGTCCTGTCAGTGCTGGTTCCTTTCTATCATGGATCTGATGAAACTTGCAAAATTTTCCCATTCAAACCATTATCAGGGGCTTTGAAGGAAGAAGAGTCATGAGTTGATTTGTTGTATATCCAGCCCTACCTCCATTGAATTAGAGGTCCATCTGACTGTGTAGGGCTGGGTGTGGTGATAATACACTTGTCATCCCAGCGCTTGGAGGCTGAGGCAGGGAAGAGTACTGTGAATTTGAGGCCAGCTTGGGCTGCAAGCGGGGTCCTAATTAGAAAACCTAAAACAAATAAAAACCTTCTGTTTTTGTTTTTCCTGTTCAGCATCCTGACAGCTCTTTGCCAAAGGAGAGGAGCCACACAGAAACTGCTCTGTGACCCATCCCTTGTCCCTGGTATAAGTGTCTATTTCTCAATAGGCTTTTATGAAAGTTCAAGTCCCAGAATCAGATACTTAGATGAAAGCTGAGGAGGCTAGCCCTGCCGGTTCCCGTCTGCATGTGTGAGCTGGTTACTGAAGACACAGGGGACTTCTGATTATCTGTGATTTAGATGATCACCTCAGCCGGCAGCATCTCAGGGGATGGCTGGACTGATCCCCGTTAGCTTTGGGACACTACAAAGGGACTTGCAACCCCTTTGGTCCTGTCGCAGCTGTTCAGACACTGGCTGGTCACAGAGGTGCAGAGGCCAAGTTGATGTAAACAGCTTTTGTCATGCCTTAAACGCCAAGACTGTTTTATGGAAGATATTTCATACAGTGTCCTCTTTAAGGCAGTGCGTCCGACAGTTTGACCAAATTCTGGGTTACACTGTGAATGATGCATTGCTATTAAAGATGTAATTTTCCTCCAGGTGATGTTCGAAATGATATCTATGTGACCTTAGTTCAAGGGGATTTTGATAAAGGCAGCAAAACGACTGCGAAGAACGTGGAGGTGACAGTGTCTGTCTACGATGAAGATGGGAAGCGACTGGAGGTACCTCTTCTTGCCCAGTCTAATCTGTGGGGTTCAAGTTCAGCTTTGCGCATGTCCGAGGGGTTCTTGACGGGTTGTGTAGTCCCGTTGGGATGCGTGCTGTCTCTGGCCACCCTTTCTCCAGCTTGCCTTTGTATCCGGGGATTCCTGGCCACCATCCTGTCTCAGGAGATCCATGTAGGTTTTGACCATGTTCCTTGCCCATATTTATTAAGGGTTCTTGTTCCCCGGCATCCCACGTGCCGAAGTGTTCGTACTAATAGCTCAGAGACCATCGCTATCACCATTTGAGACGTGGGGAAACAGAACTGAGAGTGATGCTGTCTACTCGTGGTCAGAGAGTGGGGTAGGCCTTTGGAATTGGGACGTTAGACCACTTCTGCCCAAGCTATGACCTGGTTCTCACCTCCCACGCCCACCTGAGGTGATTAAGACCCCCTGCTCCATGGCCAGAGCAGTCGGCAGAGTCCACCAGAGTGGCTCAGATGAGTGGTGCCCTCTCGTGAGCAGACCCCGTGTCCTTCCAGCTGCCTCTATACTGGGGTTGGAGAGCAGTGGCTGGGCTTGTGCCTGGGCTCAGCTAGCAGAGCAGGACTCACATCTTTTCTCCGTGTCTGGCCTTGTACAGTGCCACTGCCCACCCATCTGTGGAGGCCTTGGGCAGTTGCTCTGGCCTGTTGGGCTTTTAGCCATGTGGCTCTGGTTGGAGTCGCGATCAGAGGGATGGGAGGCCTGCCGCCCTTTGGTGGGCAATCCTGCACTTACTGAGTGAATCGGGCAAGTGCTGGCAGACTGCAATGTTAGCATGACAGGCTAAGGGGACAGGGAGGTGGTAGTCAAGGTTATCCCCACGTGTCATAACTATCCATACCTCCAGTATCTAAGAATGAGTTTTAGACTGCCTGGTGCCCGTAGATGAACCGGCCCTTCGTTGCTGGGGATGCATGCCACACGTAGTGGCTTATTGGCATGCCTGGACTGCTACGTCTTCTCCTGTTGTGGGGACAACAGGGAGCTGTAGAAGGGGACACTGTGAAGTCTGACACTAACTCTTTAAAAAATATTGATCGATCGACTGATTGTGTCTGCACTCATGCGTATGAAGGTCTGAGCACGACTTGTTAGTTATGGTTCTTTCCTTCCACCATGTGCGTCCTGAGGATCAAACTCAGGTTGTCAGGCTGAGTTTGTTGACAGCCAATGACTTTCCTGGCTGAGCTGTCTCATGGCCCCTAACATTGACTCTTTTCTGCCTTGTTTGAAAGCACGTGATCTTCCCCGGTGCTGGTGACGAGGCGATCTCCGAGTACAAATCTGTGATTTATTACCAAGTGAAGCAGCCTCGCTGGTTTGAGACTGTTAAGGTATCATTTCTATGGTCATTTTGTCCCTGTACCCCACCCAGCCCAGGGGTCCCCAGCCCGGGGGCTGCTGAGGAACCTTGCTTGCAGTTCCTGAATTACGTCCATCTCCTTTTTGGATATAAGAATAGGATTTCCATGGAGAGCAGTTGTTATCTTTTCTGACTTCTACTCCTGGGTCTGGAGTATGTGTGGTCTGCTGTCTTTATACCAAATGGGATGATGTGGGATGCCAGAGTGTGGAGGTTATTTCCTGGAGATGAATCTGGTTCCTGTGGCACTGACACAGTGCTGTCTATGACACAGCTTGCTCCACTGTAGTAAACACCCGCCACCAAGAGCTTGGATCTCAGAACACAAGGCCAGGAGTCAGCTGTGAAGACCGATCTTGATATGAATTTTAAGGACAATCTTTGCTTACAGGCAGCACTGTGAGGCCTTTTTCTTTGCTGTAACGTGACAGAAACATGCTCTTGCCGCAGCTGTGGGAGGGATGCAGATACCTTTATGTGGGAGCTGTAATGAAGATAGCAACTTTCCAAAATAGAACCTGAGCACTACACAGCTAAGTGTTAAAACAAAAAATACCTGGCTGTCTGGCAGAGTTGGCTTGGCGTCATTCACAATATTATCTTGTTTAAATTTTCAAAAGACATTTTGCCTTTGGGAAAAATCATATGAGGAATGAGATAGGCTGTATTTTTACCACTACAGTTTTGAAATGTTGATAGTTGTGCCAAAACCTCAGCTGAATTAAGCTCTTTGTGCTTGAAGATGTGGGAAAAGTGCTCACACGCCCCTTTCTGTTCTTCCAGGTGGCCATCCCCATCGAGGATGTGAACCGGAGTCACCTTCGATTTACCTTCCGCCATCGATCGTCGCAGGACTGTGAGTAACCGCGCATGGTACTGCTGCTTTCGCAGAAAGTGGCACCTGCTTTGGACCTCTCTGGGACATGCCTGTCATTGGCAGAGACATAGACTGGCCTCGGGGGAGCGTTAACTTCTCTTCCTCCTCTGTCTTCTCTCTCTTCCTGTTTGGCTCATACTATCCATTAGGAAAGTCATGGAGACACAGCAAGTCCATTTGAAAAGTGGGCTCTCACTGCACTTCTCTTGGGATAGAAAGCGTGAACATCTTTGTCTTTCTTGGTGGCTCCTGGTGTCTGGAGTGTGGCTGGGGCTCTCCCAGACATTGATGCAGCATTGACCGTGATCTCAAGACCAGAGGAAGAAGCCCACATTCACATCATTCCCTTCCTGAATTTATCACTGATTACTGAGGCTTGTCCCATTATGTTGGAATTAAGGGCCTGTGCCAGACACTTGACTAAGCAGTCATAGAAAGCAGGCTGTGTCCCTCTGTGGACTGTCTTCCCTTTACAGTGGCATGTGTTAAGAGAATGTATGACAGGGAGTTGTCTAAAATGGTGTTTTAGTGGGGTCTGTGGGAAGGGTGGGCTGTGTGGACAGGTGTGTCCCTGATGACTCCATGGGTTGCCACACAGGTAGGACCATCCGTCTGTGGCTCAGAGACCTCCTGTAGATTTCCAAGCATGAGGTTGCGTAGGAGAGATATGCCCTCTTCTAGCCTTTCTGCATCACAGTGCCAGCCCTATAAGCCCCTGTTGCCATAATGGGATACCCATCTGTTTCTAGTTGGTTTCTGGGGTCTGGGCCTGGGCCTGGGTGTGTTCTGACAGGACAGGGCTGTAGGACGGTGACTGGGAAGGCTGTGAATGTAGGTCAAGGCTGATTTCTGGGGTGTAGACCTCTGGCTAGGGCCACCAAGAAGCCTGGGTAGAATTGGGGAGGATCTGGCATGAGATCTGCTGAGCTGGAGGCCCGTATGGAACATCAACTTGAAGTAGCACCAGGCAGGGCAGGGCCCAGGAGGCAGCTGAAGCAAGTGCTGAGCCTGTCGTGGTGAGTAGATGTGGCAGGGAGGGAGGGAGGAGACGGCAGCCTCAGAGAGTATCATGTTCTTCAGATCCCATCCCAACAGCGCAAGATGATCGGGATCTAGTGAAAAGGGAACCGGGGGTCCATTTAAGTGGGAAAAACAGGTCAGTCAAGGCCAGCTAGCAGGGATAGTGTTGCCTCTCTGTCGTGTGTTTGCCTTAGAACCAAGTTTGGGCCAACAGACAGCGTTCTAAGGTCTATTCAGTGCACACAGGATTCCAGATGGCTAGAGCCTCAGGATGGTGGCCATGGTCACTGAGTGTTAGCTCATATTCTTCAGGCTCTTATGTACCTGATACCTGCGTGTCACTGTGCTGTTTAGATCAAGCCAAGCAGACCTCCTGGAGCCACAGAGTTCTTGGCATGACTTCTCATGTTACACATCAGGAACTCAGGGTGTACAGGCCCTGAGTCAGTGACTCCAAGTTGATAGGAATCCAAATTCAATGAAGAACCTCGAGTCTATTCCAGAGCCCATGTGTGAGTGTTACTCTCCAGTGTCTCTGGGGGGTGGTGAGGCAAGGCTGCTTCCTTCTCCTGGTGTTTATTTGGCATCAGTCTACATAACAAGATGCTTAGTGCTCTCTTGTAGGACTTCAGGGGTGACATTGGGCTACTGAACAAGATCACTTGGGAGATGGCAGCCAGAGTTGTGATATGAACTGACAGAAGGCCAGTGTAAGCAGATGGTAGCTGGTGAATGGGGAACTGTGGGCACCCCTGAACAGGTGCTGTGGGCACAGGTGTGTCCTGAACAGGTACAGCTGCAGAGGTGTGGGAGAGGAGTGGGGCACAGATCAGCTCGGGGTGACGGGAAAGTGGGAGGCAAACTAGAGAGCAGGTTTGGTCTCCTGGAGACGCATCACCCCAAAGCCACAGGAAAGAGCCGAGTCTCAGCACAAGCACAGTGGAGACGGAGTTCTAGATCCCACCAGTGACTGTGTCAGAATTGCTCCCCACTTTCTAACAAGCTCATTCCCCCTAATTAATAAATTACACCAGGACAAAGGAAGATCTTCTCTCTAGCATTCTAATTTTCAAAATCCTGTTTTTCTCGTCAGTTTTAAGTACTCATTATAGACAAGATGCTATCGCCCAGCACTCTGAGACACATTTGCATAATTAATGAAGTCTCCAAGGCCGTGCCTTGTGGGATTCTGGAGACATGTTGAGCATTGTAAGTGTGATGCTCTGGAGCTCTTAGGATACCAGCGACTGAGGGGGCCATGGTGTCCTCTCTGCCAGGCTTGAATGCACAGTCTAGGTCAGAGAAGGAAAGAACTCAGCCCACGTTGCCTGCCTGCCTTTGTTCATAACTGACCTCATATAAGCTGCCTTCTGCCCTAAGGCTCTAAAGCAGGGGCTAGTGAGGGATGAGGCAAAGCAATCTCTCTTGCTGGGATCTGGAGTTGGTTTGGAAGGTTGGTACTGATGCATGAAATGATTCCTGTCCTAGTTTGTTTCTCTGTTGCTGTGACAAAATACTTGAACAATACCAACTTGGGGTGGAAAGGGTTTAGTTAGCTTACATCTCATGGGTCACAGTTCATCAGGGAGCCCAAGGTAGGAACTCAGGGCAGGAACCTGGAGGCAGGAGCTGGAGCACAGGCCATGGAGGAACTCTGCTTACTGGCTTGCTCCCCTGGCCCATGCTCAGCCTGCTTTCTTATACAATACAGAACCACCTGTGTGGGGTGGCACCGCCCACAGTGGGCTGGACCCTCCTACATCATGCAACAATCAAGAAAATGCCCCACAGACATGGCCACAGGCCAGTTCTATGGAGGCAATTCCCCAATTGAGGCTCCCTCAACCCAGGTGTGTCAAGTTGACACTAACACTATCCAGCACAGTTCCTCACTGGCAACTCATTAACCATGCTAGATGCCAGGAGCCGAGTCCCTCTGGATTGGAGTGGGCTGGGCTGGTTCCTGCTGTAGTGCACAAGGCTCTGTAAGTTTGTGGTAGAATAATTCTTCCACCTCATGGTTGCTATTAGTGAGCATGTGCTTAACAGCCAGCCCTTTCTTGAATGTGAGGAAGCACGGCATTAACAAACGATATCCTTTTTTGGCGGCACTCCTGGCCTGCATGCACGTCTAGAGTTCGGGCTGCTTTCCTGGGGTGTCCTTTTTTTTTTTAATTTTCACGTTGGCCAAGCTGAGAAGGCATTGGTCCTTGTTGTCATCAGGTCTTTGACTATCCTGTGTGTTCTGTTCTTGCGTGAAGTCACTTTTCAGATCACTAAGGCACATGTAGTCTCTCTCCATTTCTCTATTTTTTGGTTGGTTGACCATCATTTAACTTACTCATTAGCCAGTGTTGACGGAGCTCCTACTGCATCCAAGGCACCTCAAAATAAATACTGCATGGCATCTTGAGCACTGGGGTCTTGGGGAGGGTGTTTTGAACGCCTTGACTGGTGGAAGGTGGTTGTGTGCGTCTTCCACGTCTGACCTCTGTCCTTGAATGCGTACTTTTGAGTACATTTTCTATCTCTGGAGCTCAGTGTTCACTTGCTGTACTTAGATGGCAGCTTGAGGAATTCTCTCCTTAGTTCTGACTCTGTGTCCCTCCCTCCCCCACCTGACTGCCCTGCCAGCCCGTTGCTCTCACTGGCCTCTGTCCCCAATGGGCTGGACGGTCTGTGTTTTTGAGTCTGTCTGGCCATCTCCTCCCCATCATGACCTGGCCCATGTGCCATCAACCCTCTCAGAGAAACCTGCTCCGGCCGTCCACCTACAGCCTGCTCTTCATTCTTGAACAGGTCACCAAGCTTTGTTCCCTTTGTGGCATGAAAGAACTGCTTGTTTGTTGGCTTTCCCTTAACGGGGGCAAATATTTGCCGAGTAGCTGAGTAGCTGCTGTCGTCCAACATTATTTCAGACACTGGGAATGGCAGTCAACACACACACATACACAGAGACACACAGATACAGTAACACACAGACACACCCCAGGGATGGACACACACACACACACACACACACACAGAGACTCAGACACAGATGG